ACTAGGAGCAAGGATGCTACTAGGGGCTCCTGGCCTTACTACTAGGAACAAGGACGCTACTAGGGGCTCCTGGCCTTACTACTAGGAACAAGGACGCTACTAGGGGCTCCTGGCATCGCTACTAGGAGCAAGGACGCTGCAAGAACGTCCTCGTTTTCTTCACTCTCAGACGTCTCGGATTCATCTGCCGCCATGGTTGGAGCGCGCCGCACCGCGCGCTTGTTCCAGATGTTTCTTTGGGCAAGATGTCTGAATCGGCTCGGGTTTGAGAGGGTTCCCCATCACTGAGTTCGGAGGATGTTGAAAACACTAAGCAATGCTAAGCAACCATATAGCTCAATACATCTCAATAAGACCAATTCGCTGAAAGAAAGAGACAAAATCTGCTCCCGCATGCCTCGCATAGCGTTTTTCCTCCCAAGGGCCGCCGGGTTTTGTCATGGCTTGAGACGGAGATCGGCAGCTGTCGCATTCCCAACCCTAAGGCCTATACCCTACGGCCTTTCCTTCCTTCCTCCACCCTATTTGCGATGGCCTCCACCCTAATAGTGATGGCCTCCAAGCCATAAGTAATTAGAGGGAAGAAAGGGAGGCCATCACTAGTAGGTCGACAATGTCTGACACATCATTTGCATTACAAAGTGTAGACTCAGAGTCGTCGCAAAGTGTGTCGCGGAGTTGTTTTCCATCTCATGTCTCAGCCCACAAATCTGGAGAGGAAGCCTGAGTATTCCTTCTTGCCTCACCGGCATGCAACAATGCGAGATGCAAAGATGTTCAATTCAAATGACTGGCAGCGCTCGCCTTTGGTAGTATTCACCTGGCGACACAAACTGAAATCGCCTGACGTTTCCTGGATTTCTCTCTCTCTCTCTCACAGCTGATGCCACTCGGTCTAGTAGTTTTGGCATGTTTGGGCATACTCTGGCGTCAGGTTGGCAAGCACGCCTTGCACAAAGCCCTGTACAGTGCCCTGTACAACGAACTCAAACTCTACCAGGCCTAGTTCCTAGTTGATCAAGATTCTGTACCATTCTTGACCTCTTTCCTGACGCCTCTGGCGAAAGGCCCTTCAAGGCCTCTTCTCACTCTATATGCGAGAACGTTGAGAAAGCATGATCTCATGATCTCAATTATGATTCGATGGAAAGGGGACCGGATTTGCTGAAAAGCTGCTGAGACGAAGCAGAAATAGAGAGAGAGAGGATTCGTCCGTCTCTCTCCGTCGTGAGGATTCGACACAGATCGGACCGAGCTCCGTCTCTCTCCGTCGTGAGGATGCTCACGTCGCACGACACGTCACGTGCTTCGTCGCACCGAGATCGTGCTTCTAGCTGCACACGCCACCAGCTGGGACGCGGCACCAGTCTCGAACATCACCAGCTGCACCGCTCCACTGCATCTCAATCTCTGCATCCTTTTTCGTCTTCTCCGCCACTCCGGGTTGCACCGGTGGCATCAAGCGGAATAGGATCACACGCATTCGGCATTTCGTCTCATCGATCATCAACTGTTCGACTTTGGTTTGCTTGGCTTTCTGCTTTGCTTCGTGTCCTTCTGATCGGTTTTCTCTTGGTCGTCTGCGTCTCTTCCCTTCACGCCCCATTTCTCGTAGGCCTCAGCCAGATGAGCAACAGGACGGTGGGACCACAAGACGATCTGTTCTGCTGTTCGGCTCCTGCTTTCTGGTGTTTGCGTTCAAAACCACCTAATTCTTTACCCTTTTCTGGCCTTATGAAGTGCCCGAATCCACCGGTGTCACCTCCCTTTTCTCTCGCATTTAACTTTTCTCATGTCATGTTCTTTTTGCCAATGCGCTTTTAGGTTGGAGGCCATGGCTCTTCCCACTAGGAAAACTAGAAGGGGACACTGGGACACATGTGTTTTTTCTTTTTGCTATTAGGGTGGAATTCCATCACTATTAGTAACAAGGTGCATCGCTACTAGTAGCAAGGACGCTACTAGGCTACTAGGAGCAAGGACGCTACTAGTAGCTCCTGGCCTTACTACTAGGAGCAAGAAAGCTAGTAGGAACAAGTGCATCGCTTCTAGTAACAAGTGCCTTACTAGTAGTAACAAGGTTCGCTATTAGAATTAAGCGAACCTTGTTACTACTAGCGATGCACTTGTTCCTAGCAGCTTCTCTGTTCGTCTCGTTCCTTCGCGCCACGGCACGCGCCAGGTCACCACCTTCACGCGAAGTCGCTCGTCGCACGTGGGACACCAAGCGCCACCTGGGAGGGAAGAAAACGGCAAACGCGCTTTGCGTTTTGGTCGTTGGTCAGGAGAAAGTGGAAAAACAAGGAAAAAGTGGAAGGAAATACGAAAGCAAAGCTACCAAACACCGCCAAAAGCAAACCGTGAAGATTTCAGATGTAAGCGAACGTGTACAAAGAGACCAAAGAATACCAGAATTGCAGAAGATTTAGCACCGGGTGAAGTAGTCAAATTACAGGTGTGACATGTCCTGGTGTCCAGTACGGGACAAATTGCAACAGAAGTGTGGAGGAACTTGTAACTACAGTGGAACTGTAGAAGGACTAAACAAGGAAAACCTACTAGCGATGGCCTCCCTTGTAGCGATGGAAAGGGAAACTGCAACACATCTGTTCACGCCTTTCTTTGTTCTGCTGCAGCTCCGGACGAAGGAAGCAATGCATTGCAAGTGGAAGCCTCAAAGCAAGACAGAAAGTCAGAAGATTGATATTCGATTCTTTGACAATTTTTGTTCTCATATGTTTACTGCATTTGGCCAGACCACAGTGGCCACAATTGGCCAGTGGCACCCAGCTCTCATCCAAGATCGCCGGGGAAATGGGCTTCACCTCTTTCCAAAAAACGTCAAAGGGACAGAGACAAAAGTCATTACTAGTAGTAAGGCCAGGAGCCCCTAGTAGCTTCTTGTTACTACTAGTAAGGCACTTGTTACTAGAAGCGATGCACTTGTTCCTAGTAGCGTCCTGTTCGTAAGGAAATGCAAAACGCGGCACGATGGGAACGAAAATGCCGTTGAGGCCTTACAGTCTTCCCAATTTACGCTACACGACTCTAGACATGGCCTCCAACCGACTAGCGAATGGAGATGGTCCAAAAACAGGTTTGGTTTTGACTTTGCCTTGAACTCTGTCGCACTTCGAAGAGCTTCGTTGCACAGGAGGCACAAACCGCAGAGGTCGTCGGTGTCGTCGATGTCCTGGAGATTAAAAACATGCGAGGACAAAACTCATCAACAAAAACGTGAGCCTAATTAGGGAAGCACGGAAGAAAGAAACAAACCATGTCATGAATGAAAGATAGAGAAGGGGAAGAAAGAACGGACAGAACAGGAATGAAAGACATATGGTCTTGAGAAAGGCCGAACAAAGAAAAGAAAGGCAACATGCTGGGCGTCGCTGGTGTTCTGCTCACCAAATACAGATGTGTTTTGCTTTCCAGCTCAACTTGTTGTCCAGTGAAGAAGCAAAGGTTGCCCGAGGGTGGTTGCAAGGTCATCTGATAGCGGCGCTAGTATGGCCAGGAGCCCCTAGTAGCGTGCTTGCTCCTGGTAGTACGGCCAGGAGCCCCTAGCAGCTTCTTGTTCCTAGTAGCGCTAGTAATTACCTAGTAGAGGCTGTAAAGTTGTTGGCTTGTATTTCGCCGGCAAATGGCATTCTCAATGGACGGCCTCGCAGCTCCCCTTGGTAAAGCATCATCTGGCTGCTATATTCAGGTTGCGTATTGTGGATTCAGTTCATTCGGGTCAAAACTAATCACAAAAGTCCCTTCCGCGGAATTCTATGGGCTATTCAAATACATTCTTTGATTGTTCTTGCGATGCAAATGCATGTGTAGCTGTTGAACAGATTCTTGGGAGTGAGGGCCCCTGTCAGAATGACCTTCACTTTAAGCAGAATAACCTGTTACTAGTAGCGATGCAATTGTTACTAGCGATGCACCTGTTACTACTAGCAAAGGAATCTACTAAGCAGAATAACAGTGAGAAAGAATTCTCCCAGACGCCAAGATTCGATCCTGTCCCTCACTTGTTTCAAGCTTTGATGCGAATCGCCTTTCAACTGCTAGTTCTAAATCCAGAAAACGTTCATTTCTTGCGGCTAATGTGGCTTATTTGTCTGTCTGACTCAAATGTGTCCAGGTTCACATCACTTGTCTCTCACGCCGTGACCATGAACACAAGAGCGGCCTCCAACCGATGGTGAAAACAGTCGGTCTCAAGACATTTCCACCTTCCAGCGTTCTCTTCTATTTGAGAAGCCTGGCTGTTCTCAGAACGGTTCTCGTTGGTTTGGTTCTCCGGGCCTCTCTGAGTTCAATTCTGGAGCACGGTAAAATCAAACCTCCAAAGGGCACCGAAAGAAAAGGGCAACTGATGTGGAAAAGAAAGTAGAGAGGAAAAGAAATGAGGAGAAAACCAACCCCCCAAAAAGAAATAGGAGAACCTCTCCTCAGCATTTCCAAATTCGAACGTCAGAAAAAAGGCGTCGCTGTCCTTGTGCGCCGTGCCCTCCTTGTCCGCCTTGTCTTGATCTTCTTCATTTCCTTCGTTGACCTAATAGCAAAAGGAACCTAGTAGCGACGCCCTCCACCCTAATAGGAATGGCCTCCAACCTAAGAGCGATGGCCTCTAACCTACTAGCGATGGCCTCATCGGTTTTCTTCGACATCTTCTCCATGGCCTTCGTCTCCGATCTCGCCTGAACCATCCCACAATTGAAGCGCTCTCGCCTCAAAAAGATCGAAGATTCAAGTGCCACGCTAGTAGTAACAGGTGCCTTACTAGTAGTAACAATGTTTGCTATTAGAAACAAGTGCCTTACTACTAGTAACAAGTTACGAATTTAATTAGAATTACATTTAAATAGCCTCAAAAATCTGTTTGGGCAAAGAAAAGACATCTTTAAGGGAAAAGAAACGACAAGCAGAATAGAACATGCAAAAAAGTCTTCACTGGATGGTTTCAAGCCATGCAGGCCCTAAATCGCAGGTTGAACCACTGCTTCTGAGGTCCGGACGTTTTTTGGAACTGATGTCCAAAAATGGCTTCAACAACATCCCAGTCACCTGGGAGCTTTGACGACCTACGCCTCGGTCCGTACTGGCAGCCTCCACCCTACTAGAGATGGTCCTCAGTCCACAGCTACATTCGCATCAATTTCTCCAGGAGAACCGACCAGCTTCGATGGCCAGCAGTTCCCAGATTTGCAGGGCAGAGGAAAAAATCGAATTGGCGGCCGTCAGATCAATGATGCAACCATGCTCCGCCAGCTGACAGCCAAAATCCAAGAGCCGGAAGGCCTCAGCGTCGCAGAAAAAAGATCTAAAAAAAGAACATGCTAACACCCTAGTAGTGATGCCCTTGTTACTAGTAGCTTCTTGTTACTAGTAGCGATGCCCTTGTTACTAGTAGTAATGCCCTTGTTACTAGTAGCTTTTTGTTTCTAGCAGTGATGGCCTTCAACCTAGTAGCGGTGTAACGCCTCCCAACACAGGCGATCGATGGTGATCTGAGGCTGCGGGCAAAGTATGTGTTTTTGCGGGCTTTGTAGACATTCTGGCACAGGATCCGTCCGTTTGCCGATCACGTGATCCGGTTTGCCATGGCCTCTGATGTCATTCGTTTGATGCCATTCTTTCGTGTAAAGCCTCCCTCTCAACCTACTAGCCATGGCCTCCACCCTAGTAGCTACTTGCTCCTACCCCCCCCCAAAAGGTAGTAGCTGTTTGTTTCAATTCTAATTAAAATCGAATTAAACTTAATTCTATGTTAATTCTATTTATATGTCTTTATTGTTTCTAATAGCAAACATTACTCCTAGTAGTACGGCCAGGAGCCCCTAGTAGCGATGCCCGTCCTTGATCTTGTCAAGGAGCTGATGCGACTTGATCCACGTGTACTCTGCGTAGGAAGACGTCATATCCTCGTGAGGCCAGCAGCGAAGAGCGGCTAGCTTAGCAAATGACGGCCAACTTAGCAATACCTTAGCCTAGCAGTGTGCCCTTGGTGACTCTCGGAGTCTCACTTCTTTGAAAAGGATACATACAAAGGGAGTGAGGAAGACAGATCAGCGAAGACCGTCAACCCTCCGAACCACATGCTTAGTAGAAAATTACACCACCGTAGACCCCAAACAGTTTGTGTTTTTCAAAATCGAAACTAGAGCTTGCGACGTCCAGAGCTGGGAGACAAGTGTAAAGGATTGCAAGGCAGAGAGGGACACAGCAATACAGAGCGGGCGGACACATCTTAAGAAAGAATTGAGAAACCCTAACAGTAAACCTTTTGGGGAATTATTCTTCAAGTGCGAACATGATGCTGGTCATGCTGCTCAGTCAGCGGGGAGCTGACCACGTGAGGACAAGAAATAAAAGCATGAGGAGCGAAGGATGTGACATTAAATTGATTTTTGGTGCCTGACGTATGCCCTCCGCCCCAATTGAACAGAGAGATCGCTGCCACGCCGCCGAAATCCATTCATCCAACGGTTGCCCGAAAAGGAAAACAAAGCTGAGAGACAGTCACGCACCCCTTGCAAAGGAGCAAGAACCTTTCACAGGCGAACCTCTTCCAGCGGACAGGGCAGAAAACAGCAACGCAGGCACCAAACCTGAAAGACAAAAAGAAAGAAATCACATGGGAGACAAATGAATAGAAATGCTACATGACCAGCGGAAAAGGGCGGCAGCACCAGTGACAGACCCGAGAAACAAATGAATAGAAATGCTGCATGCCCAGCGGAAAAGGGCGGACACCAGCAGTGACAAACCTGGAAAACAAATGAATAGAAATGTTGCATCGCCAGCGGAAAAGGGCGGACACCAACAGTGATAGACCTGGGAGACTAATGAATAGAAATGCTGCATGGCCGACGAAAAGGGCGGACACCAGCGGAGACAAATGAATAGAAATGCTACATGGCCAACGGAAAAGGGCGGACAGCAGCAGTAACGGATCTGGGAAACAAATGAATAGAAATGCTTCATGGCCAACGGACAAGGGCGGACACCACCAATGACAGACCTGAAAGACAAATGAATAGAAATGAAATGCTACACGGCACCAGCAGTGACGGACCTGGGAGACAAATGAATGGAAATGCTTCATGGCCAACAGACAAGGACACACCAGTGACAGACCTGGGAGACAAAAGAATAGAAATGCTACATGGCCAGCGGCCTTGGACGCTGGCCATGTAGCATTTCTCGTGTATTCATTTGTCTCCCAGGTCTGTCACTGGCGTTGTCCGCCCTTTTCCGTTGGTGATGCAGCATTTCTATTCATTTGTCTCCCAGGTCTGTCACTTCTATTCATCTGTCTCCCAGGTCTGTCACTGGTGGTGTCCGCCCTTGTCCTCTGTTTCTATTCATTTGCCCATGTCTGTCACTGCTAATTTCCGCCCTTTTCCGCTGGCCATGCAGCATTTCTACTCATTTGCCCCCCAGGCTTGTCACTGGTGGTGTCCGCCCATTTCCGCTGTTTCTGTTCATTTGTCTCCCAGGTCTGTCACTGCTGGTGTCCGCCCTTTTCCGTTGGCTATGTAGCATTTCTATTCATTTGTCTCCGAGGTCTGTCGCTGCCAGTGTCCGCCCTTTTCCGCTGGCCATGCAGCATTTCTATTCATCTCCCAGGTCTGTCACTGCTGGTGTCCGCCCTTGTCCGTTGGGCATGCAGCATTTCTGTTCATGTGTCTCCCAGGCCTGTCACTGGTGGTGTCCCCCCTTTGCCGGACACCACCAGTGACAGACCTGGGAGAAGAACAGAAATGCTACATGACCAACGGAAAAGGGCGGACACCAGCAGTGCAGGCTGGGAGACAAACGAATAGAAATGCTACATGGCCAGCAGAAAGCGGCGGACACCAGAGACAAATGAATAGAAATGCTACATGGCCAGCGGAAAGGTGCAGACACCAGCAGTGACAGATGTGGCAGACAAATGAATAGAAATGCTACATGGCCAGCAGAAAAGGGCGGACACCACCAGTGACAGGCCTGGGAGACAAATGAACAGAAATGCGACATTAGCAGTGACACCTGGGAAACAAATGAATAGAAATGTTGCATCCCCAGCGGAAAAGGGCGGACACCGCAAGTGACAGACCTGGGGGACAAATGAATAGAAATGGTGCATCGCCAGCAGCGACAGACCTGGGAGACAAATGAAAAGAAATGCTACACGACCAGCGGAAAAGGGCGGACACCACCAGTGACAGACCTGGGACAAAGGGCGGACACGTCTTGAGAAAGAATTGAGAAACCCCAACAGCAAACTGTTTGGGGAAAAAGTGGGAGACAAATGCAAGGAAGTGGGAGACAAGCCGCCCGGAAACCCGACTACAAGCACCCAGCCTGGGAGACAAATGAAAAGAAGCGGGAGACAAATAAAAGAAAATGGGAAACAAAAGCAAGGAAGTGGGCGACAAGCCAGCCGAAAACCGGACCACAAGCACCCAGCCTGAGAGTCAATTGAAAAGAAGTGGGAGACACATTCAAGGAAGTGGGAGACAAGCCGGCCGACCACAAGCACCGAGAATGAAAGGAAGTGGGAGACAAGCCAGCCAGGAACCCGACCACAAGCACCCAGCCTGAGAGACAAATGAAAAGAACTGGGAGACAAAAGCAAGGAAGTGGGAGACAAGCCGGCCGGGAACCCGACCAGACCATCCAGCACCAAGGCGACCATTCTTTAAAGCATTGAGAACCCCTAACAGTAAACTGTTTGGGGAATGAAAAGAAGTGGGAGACAAATGAAAGGAAGTGGGAGACAAGCCAGCCGGGAACCTGAACACAAGCACCCAGCCTGGGAGACAAATGACAGGAAGTGGGAGACAAGCCAGCCGGGAACCCAACCACAAGCACCCAGCCTGGGAGACAAATGAAAAGAAGTGGGAGACATATGAAAGGAAGTGGGAGACAAGCCAGCCGGAAACCCGACCACAAGAACCCAGCCTGGGAGACATATGAAAGGAAGTGGGAGACAAGCCAGCCGGGAAACCGACCACAAGCACCTAGCCTGGGGAGACAAATGAAAAGAACTGGGAGACAAATGAAAAGAAGTGGGAAACAAATGAAAGGAAGTGGGAGACAAGGCAGCCGGGAACCCGACCACAAGCACCCAGCCTGGGAGACAAATGAAAAGAAGTGGGAGACAAATGAAAAGAAGTGGGAGACACATGAAAGGAAGTGGGAGACAAGACCGGGAACCCGACCACAAGCACCCAGCCTGGGAGACAAATGAAAAGAAGTGGGAAACAAATGAAAGGAAGTGGGAGACAAGACCGGGAACCCGACCACAAGCGCCCAGCCTGGGAGACAAATGAAAAGAACTGGGAGACAAATGAAAAGAAGTGGGAGACAAATGAAAGGAAGTGGGAGACAAGCCAGCCGCGAACCCGACCACAAGCACCGAGCTTGGGAGACAAATGAAAAGAACTGGGAGACAAATGAAAAGAAGTGGGAAGTGGGAGACAAGCCAGCCGCGAACCCGACCACAAGCACCGAGCTTGGGAGACAAATGAAAAGAACTGGGATACAAATGAAAGGAAGTGGGAGACAAGCCGGCCGGGAACCCGACCAGACCATCCAGCACCAAGGCGACCATTCTTTAAAGCATTGAGAACCCCTAACAGTAAACTGTTTGGGGGAAAACTAAAGCTAAGATTTCATCGATTGAACCGTTCCCCTTGCATCCCTCTCTCGAGTCAGCCCGATTTGCTCTCCTCAAGCTCATCTAAATTGAGCCTGAAATTGGACACTCGCTCGTCTTCAAGCTCTTTCAAGACGAAGCGTCGAGGCGTTGACAAACACGTCCTTGCACGTCCAGCTTTGCAAGAACGAGGCCATCGCTCTTCATATCCGGTGCTCTTTGTGCGTTCCAGTGCTCTTTGGAAGCTGCCAAGGTTCAACATAGTCATGTCCATGGCTTCAAGCCGTTGAAGAAAGTAATCACCTGACACCAAGCTGGAACAAGCAAAATTGCTATTCGGTTAGAGGCCAGATGACGCTCTTCATGTGCCGAGCCACGAGTGTAAAATGAGATCTCACATCGTCCAACGATGACTTGAGCTTCCTCCGAAAGCAAACAGTGAAACAGAAAGAAGAAAGCAAGCAGAGGCCATAGAGTAGAAGCAGAAGCAGTGGAAGCAGTAGAAGCAGTAGCATAGTGTTTGCACAAACATCGCTTTTTCGTTGCTTTAGGTTCCTTGGAGCCAGAATCAATTGGCTTCTTGGCGCCGTCAATGATGGCAATTAGATCCTCAAAGCGGAACGCGGAAATGAAACCCAATAGCAACAGGAACCTAATAGCAATGGCCTCCACCCTAGAAGAAAAAAATACAACACAATGCAGAAATGCAATCTTGTTGTGTCTCTTTGTACAAATCAGCCCAGCAAGCAATAGCAAGCAGCACCCCCCATAGTACAAGACATGCATTCATACGTTTTCTCATCATTGGGGCACCCAAGCCAGGAAGCATCCACAACGAACTACTTCAAGCCTCCAACCTAAGAGCGATGGCCTCCAACCTAGAAGAGATGGACTCCAATTCATGCAAGGCAAATGGGTGAAAGACCCCTTTGAAGTTAAGCAGTTCTTGCTTTCAAGTGTCATTTGTCGAGGAGAGAAACATGCTTGAAGATTTTTTCTGCATTCTCACCGTAAATGAAGTGCCACGTTTTTCAGAGCGCAATCAAGGCAAATGGACTTCATTTTTTGGCATGAATCCTATCCACATCTACAAATGGTGGTCCCTTCCTACGTCAAACCCAATTCAACGAGCCTGCTTCAATTGGGATTTCAGACGTTTGGTGGCCAGTTCGCCCTGACTATCCAGTTGAATCTCATACAATGTCTGCATGGCGGGAAATTCGGTGATCTTGATGCACACTCAGTTCCAGCAACCACATGAACCTCTTTCACTGAACTCCCACAGCAGGCCTTACGGATTTGGACCAAAGGGGTACAAAAGGGTACATCGCTCGCGTTGGCGAATGCTTCGCAACAAAATCTCCGGGACCAGAATCTCATAATCTTCGCAACCATCAGCAACCACAAGGGAAGGAAGGACGGCAAGCAGGCAGGAAAGGTGGAAAAAGGCTTTAAGAGAAGAACAAAACGATCTCAAGATGATCTAGAACGCTAAACAAAAAGGGAAAGAAAGAACAACAAAACATGTGCAGAAACGAAACGGGAGAAGTTCTCTTTTTCTTGCAACTAGGAGCAAGGGCATCGCTACTAGGGGCGCTCCTGGCCTTACTATTAGGAGCCAGAAGCTGCTAGGAGCAAGGGCATTGCTACTAGTAACAAAGGGCATACATTGTAAAAAAGGACAAGTGAAACAGCATCACAACTTACGGGCTCACTGCATCTCACAACATCTAACAGCTGCTGCCCGACCACGTAACGATGCAAGACCCCAAGACTAAGGCTGTTGGCAAAGTGCAAAAGATAATGGTTATACAAGTAGTTCGCGGGCAAGCCGGCGGCGGAAGTTTCCAAAAGAATAAGCCTATAGGAAGTGGGCATGTGGCAGGCTGATTCGCCGAGCTGCGATGTTCTTTGACAAACCCAATTGGAACCGACCAATGGGGCGAAAGCGCAGCAGCCACCGTCAACTGTCTCGCAGGAAAAAAAGTTGCTCATGCACTTTGCAAAATACAAAATAGAGATGACTCAGCCGCGTACTAAAGTTGTACTACAAAGTCGCCAGTTCTCAGCTTCCAGCTCCACGGCTTGCTCCGCGTACTAAAGTTGCACTACAAAGTCGCCAGTTCTCATCTTCCAGCTCCCC